GCACATCACACAGGTTTCACCCGGATTGCGATCAACTGGAGACAACACAAGCCCTTCATACTTACTCTTCACCTCAAGAACCTCATCAATGCACAATTCTCCCTCTACCTGTACCCTGTCATTCATACACAACTGCACCTCCGCCAAGCTAACTTCCACGTTGGTCGACCTCCCCTGTTTCCAGAACGAGAAACCCTCTTCAATCTCCTTCTTCAAACTTCCCACCGTTCCTTTCTTCAGTCCCCTCGGGATGTTTTTTGGATTGGACAACATCTGGCTTAACTTCACGATATCACTAAGCCAACATCTGACATGCCCCTCCATGCGGGGCAAATCGTACCCTGCACAAGTACAGGCAACAACCTCACGAGATTCAAAATCTCGATGGTTGTGCAGCAAATCCCCCACAGTAGGATTTTTAGTCCAACTGATTCTGGATTTCCGCTTGAGGATGTCGCTAGTGGTTTCCGCGGGGCATAAGCTTGCATCCCTAAGGGGCTGTCACCACCCTTAGGAGTGTATCCCTACCGAGCTACTGATCCACATGCGAAGCCTTTTAAATGCAATCGAAGAGGTAGATTAGCCGAGGGCGTTTGCTCGTCTCGCTGCAGTATAGGAATTGTTTGACTAAACGCCGAATGAACCCGAGCGTCGTTCGTTCCTTGGGGCGCTGATCTCCCAAGTACGAAGCGTACGCCGATCGACTAGGACAGTCTCAACCAAGCATGAAAACAATCCTTAGTCCCTAGCAATCAAACAACAAAAATCCCCATACCTTAAAACAAAATCACACAATCCATATCGTTGACTTGATGAGCTGGTCTGCCAACGTGTCCCTTTTCAACTTGTATGACTGAAAGAACTAAGACTGATCTTCATATCATGGCTACCGAAACTTGTCATGAATAACTTCTGCAAGTAAATACCACTGGTACCATGCAGATCAGTAAGTGATCTGGTTCCTGGTCGATGTTTGAACTCTCGGTTCGACCACGTTTCCGTACCATATGCAACTACTTTGAGGAGCGAGTGACAACTTTATTAGTCGCTTTGTCCTTCTGGTCAATAATTAATCTTTCTGTTCCGCGAATGACGGAGTATCCGTCTCAATACTAAGTTATTTAACTCTGAAATGTTTCGCCTATCGCTGCATAGTTATTGCCATTTATGCTTGACAACTTTTTCAGACATTCGCTTTTCACTTTATCCAGCTTATTTTTATGCGAACGATTACCCCTCAATGCATAAGCATGATAGTGAAATCATCGGGGTAATCCAAATACTATCTATCCGGTAATCCTAACTACATAAAGTGTTTTGCTTTTGTTTTTAGATTACCTCGTGAAACCATAAATTATATGGTTTCCTCAACGGGACTGAGTCCATGCGAGGTGTTTTCTGAAATCCGAGTAAGATTTCAGAAGACAATGTCTAATCCTGGTAGATCTGTCGCCCGTTGCGCACCTGTACCTCCAACGAATCCAAACGCGCCAGCTCGTCGTCGTCGAAAATCAAAGTAGACATTCGTCCACATCGCATGACTCTAATAATCCGAGTATTATAGAAGGAGGTCATCCGAGAGGCTAGTCTCCAAACTATAACTCGGAGAGGTCGACTAAGTCCAAACAGGTGTCGAGTCTCTGTGACCCGAATTCGGACGACGCCGAAACGCCTACCGGACGAGGTAATCTTGATACTCACAATGACTCGAGAGAGACATTGGAGATTACTCGCGCGGTGGAAATATAAAGTATAACCGTAAAACTCGTCGGGAGTTCGAGCCGTACTGGCTCTGAAATCCGCGCGAGAGTTAGGGAAGAATCCCTCGCCATTTCGAAGCAATCCAATGAAACCGATCCATTCGGTAGGAGATTCATCTCGAACTCGTAAAATCAGCTCCGCTCCTCTGACAAGGTCGTCCTCATGTGTGTCCCGTACCAGCAGATACCTCGGGATCGTCAAGTCGCGTCGTGCTCCAGGCATCTGCGTATCAGAACAAAGTCATAATTAGTCGCGTAGATATTCCTCTATTTCATCCGCCTCAGCCTCCAAATCATCATCGTATAACGGCTCGATGTCTACGATTGCGAACCTATTGGCTCGCACCCGTTCTACGAAGTATATACCGTAGAAAGGTCCTTGTCGTTCGTTTAGCCACAGCACGTATCGAACGAACATCAACCTTATTTCCACAATCTCGTCCACCCGTGGATTGAGCTCATACGGTTGCAGTACTACCAAGTTTATATTGACGAAATCGCGTTCAGGCAATGGTGGTGGAAACTCATAATGGATAATATCCTGGCCAGACCCTGTCCTAAATATAAGTCGTTTGGGAGGATTCCGCGCGCTCCCACTCCAGAATCGAGGAAAGTCCTCCTCAGAATATAACTCAGACGGGTCATAAACGAGTCGTCCGATCCTTTCTACTCTTACTCCATTACGCCTCTGAAGTTCAACTCTTTCATTCGCCAGGTCTCGGTTGCTGAAAAGGAACAAGTCCGTGGATCTCATAGTCATCTGAAAAAGGAAGACAAATGTGTTTTAAGACCCCTATCCCTTTTGATGATGCCAGAAGTCGTTTTGATATACGATTTTACCTTGTGTCTATTTTATTTCTTATTTTTGGGGCGACCGTTTGCGTCACCGTATGAACTGCTCATTTGTACAATCAATATGTCAAATAAATGAGACGTTGTAGAAGTCCACAACGAGACGGACACGACTTATTCAACGCCGTTGAAAACTTTTGCCTTCAAGTATTATTCGGTTTTTGTCTTCCTTTACGACCCGTGCTTCTTATGGCACGACCAACCACGTCAGGAGTATCTAACTGTACTCTGTTCAGCTAATAAGACATGAGTCATGTTGCTTGTGGCACCAACTCTCCATACGTCGGTGGTACTTAAGATGACCACTTAAAACAGGGGTGCTAAAGCAGTTTTCTTTTTACACAAGGCATCAAGAAATAATTTTCTTCCGTGTAGATGCCTTTTCCATTACCCTAAGAGGTGGTCTCGGATACTCCTCCTCCTCGCCCGAGCATAAATCTCGGATTTAAGAAGTCGGGCCGTCTCCACCGAATCGACATAGTACCCCCCCGCAAAGCGGTCCACTATGAGTCGATAACAGGGTCAGCCCCTAAAGCAACGAACCACCGCCCCAGATGCCTCCTAGAAAAAGGGAAAACACCTACACGGCAGACATGTAAAATCTTATCGCCTAACGTCAAAAGTAAACTTGGACGAAAAAAAAGGAATTCGTAGAAAGGTAGAATCATTCAGACTGACAGGCATAGACGGAAAAAGGGTCATTGGGAAAAGAATGGGTAACCTCAGGGATAAGTCTAAATCCAATTGAACTTTTCTTCCTTGTGCTCGCTTCGTTTCTTGTCGTCTTCTTTCTCTTTTATTATACATAGAACACAAGCACAAAAGATGAAAAAGTCAACCATTCTTTCACCGTCATCACCCTCATCCATTTCAGTCGACATGCCGTACCTGCAGTCAAAACCCAACGACACACAGACCACCATGCATTCCTTTACCATTGTCAGACTCCCAGTCATACACGCAAGAACACACATCCTCTTCCCTTTTTCAATGAACATTCAGTGAAACAGGTCAAAGCAAGTGTGGGTTCACTCAGGTGTGAAGGGAATTGAGTCAATTTAACTGACCTTGAGTGACGCTGAAATGAAGATAATAACGGCTCACTCAAGAAAGCCGTATAAAATTACGTCCCTCTGTCAAGAGACAGTTGTCTTTCAGTTGTCGATAAATAATCCACACCACTCCTTTCACCACAACCACCTGCCACAACGCCTCCTCACTATGTTTTCCAATGAGTGTCACCGTCACTGACTTCCACTGTTACCGCGTCACCACGCCGTCAAAATTCACACCACCTCAATCCTCCGCTTCAGCGGTACCTTCCCTACACCAAGGTCCGACTGCCGCTAAATGTGGAACTTCTACCGTCGGTAACCTTGCATCGCTGCCGTAAAATTTTCACAGCGCTTCCGCACCACCGCTGGTAAAATCGGAGTCACCGCCCAAAAAATTCGGACTGCGCTTTCGTACCACCGCCGAAAAAACCGTAGTCGCCGCCGTAGAATTTCAGCACCGCTTTCGCACCACCGTCGATAAAGCCGTAGTCGCCGCCGTAGAATTTCGGCAGCGCTTTCGCACCACCGCCGATAAAACCGGAACTGTCGCCGCAAAATTCCGGCAGCGCTTTCGCACCACCGCTGAAAAAAACAGAACCGCCGCCGCAAAAATCCGGCAGCGCTTTCGCACCACTGATGAAAAAAACAGAACCGCCGCCGCAAAAATCGGGCAGCGTTTCCGCACCACCGCTGAAAAAACCCGTGTCGTCGCAACAAAATTTCGGCAGCACTTCGATACCACCGCTGAAAAAACCCGTGTCGTCGCAGCAGAATTTCAGCAGCACTTCGATACCACCGCAGTAAAAGCACGTGCCGCCGCAGCAGAATTTCGGCAGCACTTCCGTACTACCGCAGTAAAAACCGGGACTGCTGCTGTAAAATTTCGGCAGCACTTCCCACCGTAGTGAGAAAATGGCAGGCCAAAATTGTTAAAATTTGGGCCCCAGGCCCAAATCTTACAGCGCCGCACTGCCGCAGTCCCGCAGTACCACTGGGTCTGTCCCGTGGGACCAGCACCAGCCAGAGGGGAGAGGAGCAGAGTGCTCCTTGCCTTAGCTATGGCTGCCCAATCTTCCTCTTCGCGCTCCTCTGCAGATATCCAGCTCCTCCTCCTTGCCTCAGGCAGCATCTCAGCAGCCCAGCAGCACTCAAGTGCACGTCACACAATGACAGCACGAAGGCTTTGTGTGGCAGCTAGGGGCAGCTGGCTGTTTTATAGTGGCTGAGGAGGGCTGGACGTCACTCCAGCCCCCACGCAAAATCGCGGGCTCACTGTGAGCCCTTGATCTGCCAAGATCCAGGGCTGACTGTGGCCGCACCACAGCCACAACCTTAGTGTGGGACAGTTTCTTTAACTGCCTTATTTTCTTTTTCTTTTTCTTTTTCCCAGCTATCTCGGAATCTGGCAAGATAGCTTGGCTCCTTCCATTTCCAAATCTGTTTTTCTTTTATTTTTCTGATAAGGGGTTGGAGAGTTACAGCCCCTTACAGTTTGATGTATCTGGACCCTTTTTCCAGGGTAGATACATCGGGGAAAAGGCTGCATCTAGCCTTTTTCCTTCGTGGCCTCTAAATTTTGCTCCCTGTAAAAACGGGAGCCTGACAGTTACCTCTGGCAACTTGTGCCAGAGGTAGCACCACGTGAGGACAAGTGTCCTCACACAAATAAAGAAAGAAAAGAAATAAAAAAAAACTAACTACTAATTTTCATTGCACCTGGCTCTTACCTCTGCCAGGTGCATGCTGTTGCATGCAACAGCCTTCCACCTTTTACTCTGCCCTCCCCTGAAAACGAGGAGGGCAGTTGTCAGTTTGGGAGGAGTAGGACCTCCGCCTCCCAATTCTCACGTCCTTCCTCCCTCTCCCTCTTCAACCAACTCCCTCAGTTCCGTTTCCCACGCGGGCGTCGTGAGCCGCGAGATTTTGGATCTCGCGGTCACGACGCTCAGTCGTTTTCCAGTGGGAGCTAGTTCTGTTCCCACACAGCCTGAGAAGGCTGTTTCTTCTCTCACGAGGTAAGTTACCTCGTTTTTCTTTCGTTTTCCTTTTTTTTTTTTTTTTTTATTAACAGTTTTATTAGTTTTCTTATGTTCTCAGCCCTTCCCCGTTTCTGCCCTGCTGGTCGTGCCTCAACGGTCACGAACGGGGAGAGAAAGAACAAAAAGAAAACAAACAAAAAAAAGAAAGAAGAGAAACAAACAGTAAAAACAAAAAAACTTACCTAACCAGTGTACACTTCCATGTTCCAGTGGAAGATTCATTCAATTTTGCTCATCCTTTCGTGGCTCGTACGTCGAGGGGCCAATCAGGTAGGTGGGTAGGTAGGTAGGTCCCCCCCCTTTTTTTTTCTCTCTCTCTCTCCCTCTCTCTCTCTCTCTCTTTCGGTGCCTGTATCTGAACGCTATTGGTGCCAGATACAGGCATCGAAGAAGACAGTCGGTGAAACCCTATGAAACAGTCTGGCACAGTTTGGGTCTCCCCCCCCCCTTTTGCATCTTTCTACTTTGCGCCTGTACCTAGGCGCCATAAGCTCCAGGTTCAGGCGCTTTAATCGTTCAGTTGCTGCCCAGACTGTCGAGGCTCAGCCTCCTGATGAGTCGGTGAGATTCCGACGAAACAGCCTGGCACAAAGCTACCCGTTCATTCAAAACGAACGGGTGCCCAACAAACTTAAAAAAGAAAAAAAAGACAAAAAGAAACAAAAAAAACAAAAGAAGAAATCTAAACCAAATCTAAGAAAAGAAAATCTAAGATCAAAAAAAAAATCTAAAAAAAAAAAAAAAAAAAAAAACGGCTGCCCGTTGAAAACGGGCGCCCTCTGAAACTGCTGAGGATTACAGTCCTCAACCTTCTTTTCCTGGGCGCCATCTGGCGCCACCATATTAAGGCCGTTGGCTTATGCCAACGGCAAGGGTCTTGTTGAAATATAGACCCGAGTTCGATTCCCTGCGGGGAATCGAAAAAAAAATTCGGACCATTTTTCGATTTATGCGTGCCATCCTTGCGCAGGGGTCATGCTATCTTCGCGCGCCTGATCTGGGCCGCGCGATCTCTTCGATCGGACGACCAGATTAGATCGCGCTAATATAAAAATAACCACGGCCAGCTCCAAAAGGAGCTAGCCCAGTGGTATGTATAGTTTCTCAAATTCGATCCCGGTATCTGCCGGGTGATAGTCGAGTATGTTATCCTACTGGGCTAGCTCCTGTTTCACAATAAACAAAAGCAGCTCTTCAATATGAAGAGCTAGCCCAGGTGATTTCCCTGCCTGCGGCCTTGCAGGCTCCGCCCGTATGTGGCCTAGCAGGACTGCCCCGGGTGTGGCCTAGCAGGGCTGCCCTGCCTGTGGCCTGCCGGCTTACCTGCTCGTGGCCTACCCATACCGGTTAGCCGCGTGATCGCGGCTTGGTCGGCCATCGAACCAGGTAAGCCTTGGCTTTTGCCTATCGGCCTCCAGGCTCGAAGTCGGACCCCGCGGCCCTAGAGAAAACAACCCTCATGCGTTGTGGCCCTACACCCCCGCGGCCCTACACCTCATGCGTTGTGGCCCTATACCCCGGCGCAACCCTCGTTTTAGCCCACTTAGGCCCTGAATCGCGTAGACTAGGTGTAACTCTAGTCTTTCCATGACTGCACACTACTGCGGCCTCGTCGAAAATCCGCGGATGACAGTGCTGACACCCGCTATCCCGCGCGGACGTCGATGTCGTCTTGTGTCGACGACGTCAGGTTCTAAAAAGGTTTAGGTCTCTCAGTCATAGCGCTGGTCTGAATAAACCTTTGGCAACATCAGTCTCATCAAGTCCTTCAATTCAATGAAAGGATCAGACAGTGTCTGACATTGAAAAATCCCGGCAAATACCCTTGTCAGGGTATTTGCCCCGACAACGTGTCGACTTACGTGAAAATTCTTTCGCAGCTCCAATCAGATCCGTTAACAACTCTAGAGGAAAACGACACAACTGTTTTCGTCGTTCCGGCTACTTCAACACAGCAAGCAACGCACCTTTCTGTCCCCTACACCCTTTCACCCATTTCTTAAGCTGCCACACCTTCCACTCCCCCCCCTGTTCTATCCTAGTCTTACATCTTCGCAACTTCACGATTTTTCCTTCCAACAGCAATTCGGTATCTCCGTACAGACGCGTGACTTTTTTCCAAGTCTCACCCCAGCATTCCCCTTTCGTGCATTTCAACATAAAACACACATTTCCCGCTTTCAACAGTTTATCCAATAATTTAATGATACTCACCGTCCTTCCCTCGTCATTATTGACAGAGAACAGTATAAGCACATTAGATCTCCCATCTTTCTTCTCCGAAAACGCCTCTTTACCCCTCTCCTTCCGACCCTTCCTGGTTTTTCTGGATCCAGATCTAGTAGTCTTAGCCCCAAACACATTCAGAGATGGGGACCATCGACGAATATAAAACTCTTCGATGGTCGGCAGTTCCTCCATAGAAGCAAAGTGAATAGGAATCAAGACGTACTTCGAACTCCCAAAATTTCGCATCCAGCGATGAAAGTGCGCTGCACTATCCGATCCCTGATTACTCCTACCAAGGTGCTCCACCCACCTGACGTTCAGCCGTCTCGCGGTACACCCGATGTAGATCGCCTTGCATAACGGCGAAATGGCCACATATACAAATCCCTCCGACGACTCAAGAAACGAATCTCCTTACTCAGACTTACCCATCGTTCGACGAATTTCTTCCCCCACGGTACAGCTCCACACAACACAAGCCCAGTGCCCACCAAACGGAGTGCGCCTTCTAGTTGTGCACAGATACCAACGCGATTCGCTCTAAGACTCACAAGTTCCCGAAACTTGCACCACAACGATTCCTGATGCTGTCTACTTCATTCAGTCGCCAAGTTCTCCGACGATTCCGACTCGCTTTCACTTGACACTTCACTCTCTTCCTTACCTTTGTCTTTCTCCTGCTCCGACTCATCACCCCCCTGGTCGTACGCAAGCATCGCTCTCTTCTCGGCCAACGCGATCACTGCTTGCGGCTTGCGAACATAGGGTAAACCTTCGGCTTTGCACATCCGTTGAATGATGTTGTAGTCCATGCCATCAAGGTATACTCTCGTGTCTTCCACGAACTTTGCCCTCGATCCTTTCCCAACTCCAGCACATGCACCTTTCTTGGATGGATCGGATTTCTCCCTCAGGCTTCTCATCGTAACCGGTTTCAAGCTTGTCTTCATCTTCTTATTCGTACCTTTTGGTCTCCCTCGAGTACGCGTCCGATGTCTAATAAGTGAAGGAGGCGTAGAAAGGGATTATTCATCTGTTGTCTCCCTTTTCCGTATATTCGTCCCGAGATTGATAGTTGCCGCCTTCTCGCTCAGTTCCTCAACCTCCTCCACCGAAATTCCCCATCCATCGGGATGGTATGGAATCCTCCGTGTACCACATCTCCGCCCTCTCATATGCCTGCCTCTCCCTTTATGTCGTTCAGTCTTCGGTGGCGGTCCCCACTGCGCCAACTGCTGTTGGACGATCCTCGACAACCGCTGTTCATTCTCGATACGTTCCTGACGTTTCTTTTCTTCCTCCTCGAGTTTCTGTTGTTCCAGTAACTTTTCTTCTTCTTCGTTTTCTTGCGATCTTCCTTCTCTTGTCTCTTAGCTTCCTTAGCTTCTTCTTTGGCCAACAGAAGCTTGACCAAGTCACTCACCGCACCCGATTCACTTCCACCTCCGCCACTCGTAGATGACGAAGCTCCCTTTTCCCACTTCCGAGTAGGAGAGCCCAGCTTCCCTTCCTCCATCTTCGAATACTTCCAACATTCAAATTTAAAGTGCCCCGGCTTCCCGCAACCATAACAGATAGAAGGTCCATGCCTCGGTGGTTGCTCACCTCCACCTCCTCCTTTCCCACCCCCTTCCTCTGCCGTAGCCATCACGACGCGCTTCTTCTCAACGAAACGTGATGCCACCACCAAAATTTGCCTCTCGTAGTCCGTAGCAGCACTTAACCCGTCAACGTACTTCACTTCCTCCCTCCCAGTTGGTCTCGAACACCTATCCAGGGTAGTCTTCCCCGTCGGTTAACGAGTGCACTGTCAGCAATACATGACAAAGAAACATCACGAAATCCACACGGAGTGCAAATTACGTAGTAAAGAAAGCCATATGGCTTATTACAGAAGACAGCAAGAAAATACAGCGTCACCAAAGTGGCTGCGAATCTCCACTTGTCAGCAAAGAGTTCGTCCCCCCTCCCTCTTTCGTTCCCCTCACCCCCATCCACCGATCGAACCGACAAACTGACGAACCCGCCGTCTTATCGAGCATGGCGACTGAAGTCGAACACGACCGAACCAACCCGCTGTCGAAGAGGAAAAAAGAAACGTGCTACTGAACTATATACTACTCATCATCCCGGAAATAGCTCTAGCCTTAACCTGCAAGCCCCGAAAACTAAGCTAAGTGCAGCAGTGTAGCCGCCAAACCCCAAACCCCGCCTYGTGGCTTCGCAAACGTATYGAGGACTTTCCCGAAAAATGAGTCGGGAAAGTTCTTTACCYGAAATTCTCGCCGCAGCATGATCACCTGGACCGGAATYTGACCTCGATCCGTCGTGTTGCGGTCCAAGCRGTGCAAAGCCCCCGTAACTGCCGCGACCTTCKGCCGRCGACTAGTCCAGGACCTGAWGTCCTGTCCARTCCGAATTACCAGAGGCKTTTTGGTCCAAATCGTACCCTCGTTTTTTACCAACTRGACAGACCCCAAAAACRGAAAAGACTGCCTAACYACSARYCGRCAACCYAGAAAGTTCCACACCTCAGCCCYGTCGTCAGTCCGCTTGAGCGTAAGATTAYGGGGGTAGCACACTTCGAAACCCCGTAGCAAACGTTCAGCCTTCTCCCGAGTTCGTCTATTGCCTCCCTTATATGCGACGAAGATAGACACATCGTCGACCAGCCAGATGCCTGCGACCAACTTCCTGCTTGGGCCTAAAAAGTCCAAGCAAGGAGCCATGCCCATAAGGTCCTGTTTAAAAAAAAAGGAAAAAAAAAGAAAAAAAAGAAATGGTCACCGTGACATTGTCTGCAGGTCCAATGATGGTGTGGCTAGCTATACCCCTTCCCCCTTCCCAACCCTCGTAAAGAAGCTTCCTTGCCTGCTGTTCCCAATCTGGCTCCTTCTTTAGCTGACCCGGTCTCTCCCTGTAACCTGGGAGGACGCAGTCTTCCCCCGTGTTATTGTCCCTGTGCGTCTGTTGTTCTTCTGCTTTTCCGGCCCCCGACCCCTGTTCCAGGAGGAATCTTGCTGTGCAGAGTTCAGCCAAGGTTGATTGCCTGCCCTTGTCCGTTGTAGCTAGATTTTTGTTCTAGTTACTCATTTCCTCGTGCTATTCCTGCTTGCTACATCACCAATGTGCTGTGCCTGGAAAGGCAACATCAGTTTGCAAACGAGGGATGGGTGATATGTTGTACAAGCTAAGCCATGACAGGGACTGAGAGGAGGCCAGGGGGGGGGGCGGAGGGAACACAGGGCACGGCAGTGGGGAATGAAGGGGGGATGGGCTCGGAGGAGGTGGAGAGGAAGGCAGGGGCGGTGGCGAGGGGTATGAAATTATGAATACGTCGTTATAGGAGAGGGGAGGCGAGGGGATGGTGGAGAAGGAGAGCGTGGAGAGCCTCTGGGAGGGGGAAGAAGGTGGAATTGGGGGTGGCTAGGGGAGCAGCAGCGAGGCCAGGTTCGAGAGCTCGAAGCCCCCTCCTCACCGCACTGGGCTGCTTCTGCTTTGACCATCGGGTCAGTAGTCATTGTGGAGTTATCCTCAGGTCAGGGGGTGAAGAAACATTCCGCCGGCCTCAGGGGCCACCTTCTCCCATGGATACAAAGCTTCTTTGCCCACTGTTCTCCATCTGGCTCCTTTAGCTGCCGGCCCCTTTGACCTGGGGGATGGTGGTCTTCCCCTGCGTGATTGTCCCTTTGACTTTCTTGTTCTTCTGCTTTTCCTGGGGGCATGGCGGTCTTCCCCTGCATTATTGTCCCTTCTGCTTTTCCCACCCCCTGCACTTGTTCCAGGCGGGATCCTGCTGCGCGGAGCGTAGCCGAGGTTGATTGGCCGCCAGGTTGATTGTCTGCACCTGTCCATTGTAGCTAGTTTTTTGTTCAATTTTCTCCTCATCCTCATGCGCAGTCTTCCCCTGCGTTATTGTCCCTGCGACTTTCTTGTTCTTCTGCTTTTCCTGGGGGAATGGCAGTCTTCCTCTGCGTTGTTGTCCCTGCAACTTTCTTGTTCTTCTGCTTTTTCCACCCCCCTGCCCTAGTTCCAGGCGGTATCTTGGTGCACGTAGTGTAGCCGAGGTTGATTGGCTACCAGGTTGATTATCTGCACCTGTCCAGTGTAGCTAATTTTTTGTTCAATTTACTCCTCATCGTCATGCTATTACTCCTCATCCTCCTGCTTATGCTGTGCCCGGCTGGCCCACATCAGTTTGCAGGGGAAGGGAAGGTGGTATGTTGTGGAAGCCAAGCCATGACATGGATAATCGCTCTGAGATGACCGTATGTATATCCTTACCTGTAGGACAGTCTCTCGCAGAGAGCTATCCCTACCACCAGATCTTTGCACTCAGCCCTTCCTTACCACCAGATCACTGAACTCAGCCCATCCTTGCCACCAGATCACTGCAATCAGCCCACCATCATACATGGCAATCTCCAGAGCACTGGTGTGTACGACTGGGTTCACTATGAGAAGTTGGTTTTGCTTGATGATAAGCCGGTATGATGTCATAGACTGATTGTTGAATTCTCTCAACCACCGCGGGGAAATTTGTTCTGTCTTTGTTCTGGGCCATCGGTCTTACTCCGTCGTGCGACAGATTTGGAGCATGACAGGGAGGGCATGAGACGGTTTCAAGACCGTTTAAATAAGTTCAAGGATCGAAAGGCTGAACTCGAGCGGCGCACGAGGGAAACAAAGGAGCAAGTGGTGAGCACTTCTCATCATCATGCCCCCCTCTATAAACGTAGTCACACTATGATTTCCTCAGCTGGATCTGAATGGAATTGGAGTCAGATATGTTCTGAAAAGCTGTAGTGCGAATGCACACTCTTGCTTCACTTTCCCTCGTTTGGCTGCTGTTCCAACTTTCCAGCATTCTAACGCTTCACTCCCATAGAGTTGTTGTGTTGTTGTATCCACCTGGCGACTGAAAAGCACATAAACATAACTCTTCTTCTCCTTTCTCGTTAAAAAAGGAAACAAATGGCTGAACTACCCTGGAATCCCTGGATGAGATAAGATGCAATGAACCCAGACTGTAAGATACTCGTCAGACATCGAAGTACAAACGTGAAAGTGATATCTGATATAGTATCTCGTTACCAATAGACGAAGAGAGTGGAGGGGGAATAGACAGAGGAGAGGGTGGAAGAGATAACCAGTGACCACTCGAGAGCAGCACAATCAATTCCCACTCCTTCTCCGAGCTTCCTCTCCATCCACATCATCAATCAATAAACAGTAACAAGTCTGATAAGTCCTGATCACATAGAAGTGCCACGTGGCACTATTCTCCCATGGAGACAATGAAGACAAGCAGCAGCTTACAATATCGACGTCAGCCACAGGTAAGTATCCTGTCCCTCAATCGTCCATGGATCCCGACTCCCTCCTTATCCCAACCAATCACCTCATGTAAACAGCGTGGCCAGTGCCACGTCAGCAGAAGAGACAGGTGGCATGCACTACATCAACAATGAAGACAGGTGGCAGCAGCCGCAGCACCACATCAGCAATGCAATGTAAACAGGTGGCAGCGCCACATCAACAATGTAGACAAGTGGCATGCACCCCATCAGCAATGTAGACAAGTGGCATGCGCCACATCAGCAGTGTAGACAGGTGGCAGTGCCACATCAGCAATGCCTGGCGAACAGAACAGAAAGCACCAGCATGCTGCCACAGTCCCCCGTCGTCGTCCACAGTGCCAGCGCACAGCCGTCGAGTTAGTGTCCATCCAGCGTCGAGCCAGCATTCAGCTAGCGTTCAGCTGGAGTCAACCCAGCATCGAGGCAGCATAGCAAGACTGAATGTTGACCACCTGGAGGCGAAGCCTTATGTAGTATTTGACGAGGCTGTCTGGCCTCAGGTCTCCTTCCCACAGTCGTACAGATTGACTCACAGACGAGGGCCTGGATTGTGTACAGTTGCAGACTTCCCCTTGGTCCTGATGTTGTCTGGATACCTGCATACAAACAAGTGTGTGTGTCTGACCGACGGCCTGGGCTGGATACACTTTGACTTTGACTGTTGGGTGTCCGACAGTTGACTAAGTCACTCGTCCAGGCCCTGAATCTCTACGAGGGGTTCTTTTCCCCCTTTTTGCCTGGGTCTGAGTGCGGCCTGACGAGGCCCTTAGACTTTTCGACGAGGCATACTACCTGGGTTATTGCATTCTCGCCGGCTCAGTTTTCGAGTTCCATTGCAGAAACACATCAATTTTCCCTCAACCCACGTTCATATGCAGCAACAATGTCAGAAGCAGTAGGTAGAAGTTCCTTTTTACTGAACCATCTAGCTTCAGTAGGGGGTTGAGACTAGAACTTTACCTTATACTGCTTCTGAGGTCGTCCTCTGCCACCTGTAGAAAAATAGCCATGTTCCATTTTTTTCTCAACTTCATAGCCTCCATTCATGGAGGGTGGAAACATAGATGGCCTGTTAGGAAAGTTATCTCCTTCTACATACAGTAACAGTTTAGACGCATGGAAGATAGGATAGGTCCTTAGGTGTAAGGGTACATCTATTCGATAGGACGGTCCATCTGCATCCTCAATCACCTTGAGAACTTTCTAGGGACCATAGTAGACAAGCAACAGTTTTTGAGACACATTTTCTTCCAAGGCAAATTCTTTAGACTTCACCCATACCATATCTTCTTCTTGAAACTGCAATGGCCGATGATGTTTGTTGGCCTGTGCAATCATCTGAAGTTGGGCTTTCTGTATATTTTCTTTCACCTTTTTAATACCTTCTTCATACAAAACTGCAAATTCAC